TGGAGCGAGACAAAGTGACCGCTCCAGCCTTAATTAAAAAACCGCTTCGCGCTCTGACCAAATTCCGCCCGCTCCGCTCCGCTCACATGCTCTGTGCCCCACTTGACTGAACTTAACCTGGTTGTGAAAATGCAGCACATTGAAACCTCTGGGTTACCATCTCAGAAGTAGAAGAGTTTACTTGGGCTTACCTGTGTGGGCAAGGTGCTGTGAACAGACACAAAGGCAACGTGAAGTTTGGCACAGATGTTAGCGATGTATTCATTCTCATTCACTTTTGATGTAACATGGACCACTAGTACAAGAGTGGGTGTATAGGTGTAATATAAATGAAATGGCATTTGTCTTGCTTTGGAGAATAGCTAGGCAGCTAGCTGCTGCAGATCGTTAGACAGGCAGATTAGATGGATAGATAGATAGAAAGATAGAAAGATAGATAGATGATAGATAGATAGATAGATAGATAGATAGATAGATAGATAGATAGATAGATAGATAGATAGATAGATAGATAGATAGATAGAGATGCGATCATCTTTACTTCCAGGTGCCTTTTTCTTCATCCTCCATGCCACAAAGACGACAGCTACAACAAGGACTACAAAGACACTGGCCAGGCTGTAGAGAGGATCAAGCCTTCCTAGAAATTGTAGGATAATACAGATTAATAGCAAATGGTTTTCTGGCTTGGTGATTTCCTGTTTACAGTTAAATGCAAAATCTTTGGGCACTGAAGCCATTTGCATTATTACACTAAACACTTTATTATCCATAATGCAACCTGATTGGATAACACCAAGCTATTACATGCACTTGAAAAGAATTGGTCACACTTTACTTGAGGGGACATGAATAATGTAGATGCTTACTTAATTCATTAATTAACCAGTAAGTGAGTGTTTATTACATACTGGTCCCATACTTGTTCATCATTAATCAATCATAGTGATTTCATGCTTTCAGTCTGACAGTAGAAACCTGCAACCTGACTTTTTAACATGTCAGTGACAGTGGTGCTTTGAAAAAGATCATGCAATATCCATCCATCTTCCAGTCACTCCTCCAGTACAAAGTCAGGGTTAACTTGTAATTTAGAGATGCCAGTTCACCTAAGTCTGAAATTTTGCATTGCAGAAATAAGCCTTCTATCCACTCCTGCTGAAATCAGCTGCACTTATGGTCTTTGTGTTAGCTTAAACGAGTCTGGCCATTTTTATCCTTTCATTAGCAAGGTGATTTTGGCACAGAAATGTGTAGCATATTAAAAAATCAGGTGGGTGGCTGTTTCTGAAATCTTGATACACTATGTCTGACACCTCACATCATGTTCAAAATTGCATGGATCAGGTGTTTTACTTGTTATGAGTCGAACAGTAATGGAAGCTCAGAGCCCTGACTCTGTGTGTGTGTGTGTGTGTGTGTGTGTGTGTGTGTGTGTGTGTGTGTGTATTCAGTTGCAGCCACATGGTTCGCAGTTTGGAGAAGCATACTGTTTGCATGAACAAGCCTAATGAAGTACCTAATGAACTGCTCACTTAGTATGTTTAACTATGTTAAATTAGTATTTGCACCTTAAATGAAATTACTTGAGTCAGCTGAAAGTACTTACTAGTCCAGGTCCTCTTTGACACCTGTAAGTGCATGCTGGTATTCTCCTCTCCATACTGGTTACATACCACACAAATGTAAAGCCCCTCATCTTTCTTCTGCACATTAGCTATGAGTAGCTCGTCTCCTCCGTGCGACTCTGATAAGTTTCCCCATAGCCACCTAATTTCAGGCATGGGGTTCCCTTCAGCAGCACAGACAAAGGTCACAGAAGAGCCTGTTTCGGCCCACACTGAGCCATTGCTCACAGGAGCTGAGGAAGTCACGGTCACAGAGCTGGGTCCATCTGTGAAGAAAGGCAGAGAACAGCATGCAGCACAACCCCATGGGCTTGTTGTCATCCTTACAAACATCACACACTATTTTAAGTAGCTAACTGATTGCTCTCTTTCTCCTCTGATCATGTAAACTGCATGCATTTATTGTCACAAAGAGAAATTACTGGGGAACTAACTTTCAATTGGGTTCAACTTTTTGAGGTACTAGAAACTACAGCCCCTGATATTTTTCTTAGGGGCAGAAGACTCACAGCTGACATTGAGAGTGATGGCTGAGCTGTTCTTCACAGGCCAGTCCGGGTGAGAAACCTGACAGAGACACTCTGTATTATGGTCTTCCTGCACAAGATTTAACCTGTACTGGCTCTGCAGACTGAACGTGCCAGTACTGTCACGCTGGATTCTAGTGTGAATCGTGCTGGCAGGTGGCGGACGGCCCCTGTGGAGCCAGAACACTGAGACATTCTGAGGGTAGAATCCAGAAGCGTTGCAGATCAGTTCAACGAGATGTCCAGACACCAGGAGAGGGGGCTGCAGGATTTCTACTGAGGGTGCAGCTAGAAAACAGGTAATTATTAAATCATTCAGGGTGATGAAAACATTGTAGTTATCATTGATTTCTGTCTAAATATGTCCCTATTTAGGTTTTCATATCAAAATAACAAAAATATGACTAATTTACTGGTTGCAGTAAAGATAACACATATCATATAAACAGATAAATCATATAAATCACATTTATTAAATGAGCAATTTATAAAGCAAGTTCCTTACCATAAAGGGAAATTTTAGTCCCAGAGCCTGTGAATGTCTTTGTCTCTTCAACGCTTAATATTTTAATCTCACAGTAATACATACCTTCATCATTAAGACTGGTTTGATTTATTTTTTGAGTAAGCTCACAAAGACAAATAGTTTCTTGGGTGATATGTGGCCTGCATTTTAAATTTGCACTCCCATTAACTTTATTCCCAGAGATTGATTTGTAGAATCGCCCAAATCTTTCTGCATTCAGCTTCTTAGTGAGGTTGAATTGACAGGATAGAGTGACTGGCTGCCCGATCTGAGCTGTCATTTCAGCCGGCTGATATACTGCATTGCTCTGCTTTGCTGTGTCCCCTGAAATAACAAATGTGTTTATTAATAAACATTAATGAAGTAACTCAGTGACAGAATAGTACTTTCATACCATGACATTATATTTGGTTGCGGTTTGCGAACATTAGACAAAAACCTTGCATTTTTTGAAACAAAGAAATTTTCAAAAATGAAAATCTGGTGTTGCTGAATTATTTCACACTTTTGCTGTCCCTTTCATGTCACTGTCATATTTCACTGTTTCAACAGCTTATCTTGGTCAGATCACTGCCTTGTTCTTCCGGGGGAGTTGTTAATTCAGCAGCGGCCTTGTCCGAGGCCAGTGCTGATTAGGGGGGGAGCCAAAAGCAGATAGTATAGAGTTGTTTGGGTTTTCGGGCGAGAAGCTGTAATTTCGCAGCTCCTCTAATGTCCACGCTGGTCTCCGCCATCCAAAATTCTTTGCAAAGCCGTGAGCTTCTCCGTGAT